AACCACAACACAGCTACTAATCCAAAACGTGGCCATCAGGAAAGGGGCTGGTATGAGGACTAGCCAGGAAATGGTAGTTAGCCTCTGCCACCTGAGCAGAAATTAAAGGGAGAGAAAATGTTTTTGGGCTTGTCACACAGGATACAGAGCAACTGGCAAAGAGTAAGTGCAGAGGTTTTTGGTTTGGTTCTGGTGTGGGTTTTTTCTTTCCTCTGCTGGAAAATGGTGAGCTGTATGTTTTGGCCTATTTTAAAAAGCCTTAATGTTTGTAAGGCCCTAAGTAAGGGAAAGTGTCTCTTTCCAAAAGGGGAAAAAAAGTGGTTTCTGCTACATAGGTGAATTTCAAGTTAGCTTTAGCCTTGGTTAGCTTAAGATGTTTTCTGAAGGCTGAAACAATATGTGAGGCAATGGCAACTACTGCATGTAGGGGAATATAAATGTTCTTTCAAGGGCATTTGTGCAGTCACAGAAGAAAATCGTAAGGCTTCTTCAAGCAAGAAGCCCAAAGGCACCGTTGAAAAACCTGCTTGGGTTTGTCTGGCTTTCTTAAAAAAGAACTTCATATTTCATAAATAAAGCTTTATATTTCAAAGCTTGTCCCTTAAAGCAGTGCTACCAAATCACTGCATCCACACATACAGCCTCTGCTTAAAGCAGGATTTTGCAAGTCCAGCCCTTGGTAGGATTCATGCTCCACGTTGGAAAAAGCCAGTTCAAAGCCTGCCCTAACTCAGCTCAGTAAACAGAACTGTCTTCACAATACTTCTCCTAAAAAAAATAAAAGTTTTCGAACTCTCATTCTAAGACAAATGGGAAACATGTTTCTGTGTAGCATGTACCTAAGAACAGGAAGCCTTCAGCTGCTCAAAACCCAGTGTATGCGGCTACTATTCTGTTTGTCTTCCTCTCTGCAATCCCATCAAGAATCCAAAGAGGGTTTGGAGCATGAGAGTGGCTTATTGCATAATGGACACCCAGAGATTAATTCTTCACCCCAGGAATCCAAAATCTATACAATGATGCTAGAAACCTCACTTTAGACAAGTCAGAGCTTGGATACAACAGGGACAGGCTCAGTTCAGAAAGAAGCTTAATGTCTAGACAAATAAATTTAGAAAAAAGTACAGCTCCTGTGTTAAACATGCCACAAAGAAACAAAATAACATTACTGCAATGGATATAAAATCTTTGATTTGCATATCACTTCCACAACTTGGCTCCACAGATCACTCAGCTGCCCAGATGTCCAGTCTGGTACTCACTGTCACATCCCCTCTTTGATATCCTCTGGGCAAACCCCATTTCTTTAATTTCTGTGTACTTTATCTAAAATGATATGGACTGAATAATTCACTCCACAACTCAGGCCAGTTCAAATTTCAATCCACAGCATTGTAAAGCATTTCTATTACAGAATATTTATTGTGTTATATTATGCTACACTTTTTCATTTGCATTGTGTATGCCAATTCTCCCCTGGTTTACACATGCATAAATCCACTATGCCCAAAGGGGACCTTGTCCCCATGTATGGCTGCAGTCCTAAGAGCTGAAGGAAGTGTGTGTGGGACAGCATTCCCCAAAATAAGCCAGCCATGACCACCATTCCCTCCTGAACTGTTGCCAGTGCTTGTGAAACCATGGGCTCGTCTAGCACATGGGTAGTTGGCCTGAAGCAAAGTGACCTCCTCCCCTGCTTCAATCTCCACAAGCATCTGGAGGCCACTAAAGAGATGCAGTCCAGTCTCTACAGTAAAAAGCAAGATGTATGGCTGTGGGCAACAGCATGAAACCCCCTCCCACTCCTTGTCCACACAGGAGACCACAGGCAAGGCACAAGCGGGGAAAGTGACCTGCACTACAGAGGAGCTAGCAACATTGGGAGCACGTCCCCACATCCCCATGCATGCCTGTACAAAGACATCTGGAGTGGATGAATAAGACAGGAATAACGACAAGCGTCAGGGTAAAACTGGGCTATCCAACAAAACAGGCAATGGGTAACCCTTATGCATCATGCCCATGATCCCACGAATGCAGGGAAAAGCTGCTCTGGATCTGTGCACACTTAAACCAGAGGAAACACAGTGTCTACATGAAGTACTAAAATAAACAGAGAAGGAAAGGCAGTCAAAAACTGATCAAGCTCATGCTCAAAAGCTCGTTACATGTGTTTAAACATGGCTGTGGTCTTGCATGCGAATAAATACACTTTTGTTTGAAGTGAAACAACCAGGCATTTGACATCACTTCCATTTGACATGGACTTCCTAAGCTGTGCAATTTTAGATCTACAAATAATGAAATAATTACCATCCTCAGTTTACTGTATGCTCAGTAACCTTACTCTGATTCAAAATAGAGCTGGAATGTCTATGAGACCTCAGTCCTGCTAATTCTAGAAGTGTGTAATGTGACATATCTACATGTATTCTGTATTTTTCTACAACTTGGTATAAGTAGGTAGAACTTCCTCACCAGGCAGCCATGCACACAGTGAGAGTGTATCTTCCACACAGAGCTGAGAGCCCTGCCAGCAATCCCTGCACTGATGCCAGTGCTCTTACAGTAAGTTTGCTCCAACTCCTGCTCTGTTTTGTGTAAAGAGCTGCCTTCCAGGACTACTTTTTAGGTCTAATTAATTTCTTAATAAAAATAACATTTAGTTTATATGCTAGTCCTCAAATCTGGGTCATTTCTAGTTCTCACCAGTCATTCTAAGAGGCCCCAAACTCCATTTCATTCAAGTCTGTTCTTTCATCCCACAGTTAAAAACTAAAACACTTCTAATATACATTTGCTTGGCTTTTTTACTTTTTCACACAGCAAATTTAGGCACGACTGTAGGATGTACTTGGCCAATTTGTCTAACAAATATTTACAATCAGACAATTAAGATTCCTCTGCAGAACTGCAACTTTCCCACGTCAGTTTTATCTCAGACAACTTTAATATTGCCAGTAACCTTAATAAATATAGCAACTAGTGAGTGCAAAGTATCACTTATGTATATTTATGTTCCAAATGAAGACTTGGATGAAAATACTGGCTGATACTAGCAGCTACAGACTTTTAACCACTTTTCTCTAAATCAAACTGTTAACTTATTGGTTCCTTTAGTAGTCATCCAACCCTGTGGATAAAGCACAGGAGTGCAGATGACAAAGTCTGGCTTTCTGGGCAAGGCATCTCACCTTCCTTTGCCTCAGCACTTCAACATCTGCATGCAGAAAGTGCTATATAAGCCTGGTGCTAGTTAGAACTATTTGTTGCTGTCACTTAGAATTTTCCTCAAGGCTTTCAGGCATCAAAATGGCACCATGAGTACTCGAAATGCACACGAATGATCTTGATGTGTACCTGAATGACCCCTACAAAGTTTAGAAGAGCTCAAGTCTCAAGATGAAGCCAGGAAGCAAAGAATTCATATTAATCCTAATAGAGACCAAGAACTGAACTTGTGTCTGATTCCCATGGAGGCTCACAGTGAAAGGTGCTATTCCTCTTACCTTGCACGTTTTCAAACAGTTCATCTACTGCCTTTTTACCTTCAGGAAATGAACCATATGAAATCAGTCATACAGGTATTAGCAGCAATAACTCCTTTTTTCAAACCTGTGTGTCAGTGGACATAAACCCTGGGCCTGTTCCAACCTCACATTTTTCCATTCTCATAGTTATTCTGCCATCTGAATTGCACAGACCTTTTTCTTTCCCTTTGGTTTTTTTTCTTTCTTTCCCTTTTTCTGCCATGGAAAGCAAAAGCATTGCCCACATGTCAGAAAAACAAAAGTTACAACATATTCAAGACTGTGGTCAAACATTGTTTTCCAAATGGAAAGCACAGTCAATTCTGACCTGGCCAGTATATGCTTTTAAATCTTCAAAACTGCCTATAAAACTACTTCAAATCTACAACATATATAAAATTTATATAATCTATGAAGTGGATTTACACCCTATAACAAAGCTATCTACACATCTGTATAATCTATAATAAAAACTGCCTGGCCAGTTTTTGGCCTAGGTTTGTAAATCCGTTTTACAGCCTCCTGACCTGCCGCGCTATGTCCTTTCACAGCACATTGGGGCTGGGACCTCCAGTCCCGGCACAGCGGGTGAGCACAGCCTGCAGCACACATGCTGCTCAACAGTGCAGATCAGGCTGCTGGACCTCCGCCACGGGAAGCAAAATAAGGTTGGACTTGTTCCTATGTATGCATTTGAGATTTACTTCTCTCAAAGACAGTCCCTGACCTTGACCGTGGCCTTTTAGATTTACGGATTGGTAAAAGGGAACTGAGGAATGAAAACACTTGAAGCTCCTTACCCTTCTATTTACCACACCAGATGGCTGCTAATTGTCAGCATCAGCCCAGTTTTACCATGTGCCTGGGTACAAGAGCTGTATCTTATCAGAGACTGTGTGAAGGATGGCTTTTAACAGGTCTTTGCTGTCATAAGGCATTTTACTCATCTGGAACTCTGAGTGATCTGAAGAATTTTTTGCTGGATACTCCTCTCCCCCAGGCATTTACCTCTTGAAAACAGTAGCTACCGACAGGTTTGTGCTACGGATGTGTGGAATGTTCCAGCTGGTCAAGAAATTTGACCTGATCTTCAGGAAACCCTGAAATCAATGAACCTCAGTTATCCCCAAACCATAGAGATGTACCAAGTATGTGAGTATGAGATAACAGCAGATTTCTAAGAGGGATCACTGCTTTATCCTGAAATGGTATCAGAGGTTTCAACTTTTAATAGCCAGGCCCTAAAAGCCCCTCAATCTTCCACTTTTTCTCTGCATCACTAATCTCTCCCTGTCCCTCACAAAAGCCTGGATATAAAACTATATTTGCTGGCCAGTGACTTCTGGAATGGAGTGGACAATTATTTAGTTCCTAAAACAAATGAATGTTAAATGCAAGGACAACTTTAAGCTTTTTTTTTTCTTTTTCCTGGGACTAGCCTTGGTGTTCATGTTGCATCTGTTACCTTACCTTCCATAAAAGCACGGCCAGCAACAGGAAGATGAGAATTCCCACCAGCAAACTGATGGCAATGATCCATCCGACAACATACCCACGAGGCTCCAGATTGTGCAAAGCCTCAAAGACCACCTACAAAGCAATTAGAAAAAGATCTTTTTATGATTGGAAGTTGCATTGTTTTCTCTTGCACTCATTAAACACATTGCATGGTGGCCTCACGGATCGTATTTCATCTGTCAAGCAAATACAGAATGCGCTCTTAATTTTGTGCTTTCCATCTATTTTTCGCAAGGATTTAAAGCTTTCAAGTGGACTCTAAGTAGCCATGCATTGGATCCAAAGGATATCAGCTTCCAGTCTGAAATAAGTCTTACCCTGCCAGTCCACCATCCCACCCCATACACTGAACTTGTTCTGGTGCTGGTCCACTAAAGGTGCAGAAAGGCTTGCATGAATAGCTCATTCCCTGGGGTTGGCAGGGATTTCCACGACATCTCGCATGGTTTGTCTTACTCAACATGTTCCTGGGCCTGCCAAATACCCTGATGCTTTACATGAAACACTCATGTTTGCTGAGCTTGTTAACTTATTTTCCCCTACAAAAAAATGGCACAACTCACATACAATCCTATTGAAAACAAATTGTCCCTGCTGTGCTTCACAAGGCACATTGTGTGAAAGAGAGAAGGGCGTGTGCAGTCCTGGTTCTTCTGGGAACACAGAGAGCAGTCCCCTGCTGTTCTCTTCTCTCTATTTGTATAGCATGTATGGCAAGGAAATACTTTCTACAGAGAGCTTTCCTTAACCATCTGCCTTAAGAAGAAAATGGGAGAAAATTATACCGCTCATATACACTATGTGAATTTCCAGTCTCTTGTTTCAATCAAAACCAGTTTCTCAGCGGAAAACTCAAAACCAGTTCTCCTCAGTGAAGGCTATTTCTATGTTAAATGTTGCAATTTAATATCCAGCAAATGCAGAGAGACAGCAGAGATATTTTCTTTTTAAAGGTAATACGTTTGCTTTGTCTGGCTTTATTTCGGTTTGTTTTGGAAGGCAAAGCACAGAGTTTTCCTCCCTCCTTCACAAACCCCTTTCATCATCTTTGCTTAAAAACGTCAAAACCCGCTCCTAGATATGAATTGTTAAATCAATCTTTTAAACAAAACAAGAAAAAAGTGGTAGTTAAATTGGATGAAAGTCTGGGATTTAGTCAGATACGGTCGTGAAGTACCTCCATTCATTGGTGACACCATTCAAACAGCATAATTTATGAGACAGGAAAAGGAACACTATGCCATACAATGCATATGGGTGCTGAAGGTGGGCATTCAGGAAAAGGCTGCAACAGGGAGGTGATGGCAGCACTGGAACAGGGGCCAAAGAGGCTCTGGGCTCTCCATCCTTGCAGGTTGCCAAGCCTTACACAAAGCCCTGGGGATCCTGAGCCAGTGCAGGTAACAGCCCTGCTTTGAGTGCAAAATAGGACAGGAGAGCATCCCCAGATGCCACTAACAATCATTTCTCTGTTTCTGTAAGCATCTGCAGCCTCAGCAAACACCCACACAAATCACAGGCACAGGTGAGAGTAAGCAGTTGAGTAGAGCTGTATTTCATCATGGCATTCCATGAAGAAGGACTTGAAGATCCTTCATCTCAGTTTCACAGGCTAATCCTGATTAAGACCACAACTTTTCTGGGGGAGGAATTTGAACACAGCTGATTTACACACACTGGGTTTTTTTCTATTAATGAGAAATTATCAGGCATTTGGTGACAACATGGAAACATAACAAATGGACAAGAACGAAGCTATACATAGATAGCATTATCCAAACATACTTCCATAACTAGTATCACAATGCTCAAAATAGTTCTCAACCATGGGCCATTTCTTCACCCACACAAAAAGAGTAATTCTGGTGTTTCAGACATTAGCACAAAGCCTTTGTCAGACTTTAGACATCTTGCTGAACAGAAACAGTTTCCTAAGCAGCAGTTTCCCTCATAGCCAAGACGAGTGTAAGGGAAATACCAGACAGAGAGATCAAACACAAGTCTTGTCCCTTCCTTGTATTTCTGAGCCAGTTTGGAAAGATGATCTGATGTGGCAGTCCATTTCTCACGGAGGCTATGGATAGCATCCATCTTGCAGACACAAGTTAGATGAGTATTTCTTAGATGACAAGGCACTAATTTGTTTTCCTTTCTGACTCTAAAATAAAAAAGAAACCCTCCTAACATTGTAAGTATTGCCAAGTTTAGCGAAGAGACCTTTCAGGCAGTCCCTGGATGCAAAATGAGGTGGTGTCTTCTTCCCACTACTCAGAGAGTAAATATTAATACAATACAATCTCGAGCACAATAGACCTGTATGTCCTTCATGCTGCCAAAAGACAGAGCTAGGAATAGCTGCAGAGATCAAATCAGACATCATCTGTAAAGCAAGAGCCCCAAGTTTCAGGTTTGAAGCACTCTGGCTAGACTAGCTTGGCTGTGTCTTTTGCAGGCACAGCTCGAGCTATAAGGGTAGAAAGCCACAACAGCTTCTTATTCATCCAGTTTATTCTAGCAATCTGGAACCAACAAACAAGCATAAAATCCCACTGTTCATGGCTTTGTGATTTGGAGAGAAGCAGGGACACTGCATGTATTAATGTCCTTATCCCTCTCAAGCTCTCATGCAACCACTGCAATGAGCTTTGGTGAAGCAACCAACCAACAACAAAAAACCCAAACTGAACCCCAGTCAAAGCAGACTGAGCAGACAGTGTACATCACATGTCAGGGTGATCAACAAGAAGTCAGTAGAGTAAGTGGTGGGAGGCCAAGGAAGCAAGTCATCCTTGGATGGGGAGAGGTTGGAGGCAGAGGACGGTGTTAACAAATAGAAGAGAGACATCCACCACTTGACCCGTGGCCATCACACAGTCTCTGAAAGCCAATCACCAGCAAAACCTGAACTCCTCATCCCATCCACCCCAGCAGATCCCCAACAGGGCAGCCAATGTTTGGGAGCACAAGGCAGTCCCCATCCCCAGCCCAATGCATTTCCCACAGCCCTAACTGATGGAGAAGACAGGAGTGATACGAGCAACTGATACAGAAGATAAGGCAGGTGGGTTTGGGAAAGCATCTCAGAGAGGGCAGTGGGGGCAGAAGCCGCCTGGTTCAGAGAAAGCAGATACAACAGTCATGAAATATGGAGCGGATTACAGGCTTGTTTTCAGACTGCGACAAACGCTAGGGAAAGGCTGTGGAAAAGCAGAGTTGTCTTGATGATGTATGAGGAGTTTTAGTTACATATTTATCTTCTGCATTTCACACCATACTGGTGGAATTTGGAAGCAGGGAAGCCCGGGAGGCAGGGTATCTTGCCATTTAGTGAGACATAGCTCACACGTCAATCAGGTTTTACACAAAGGAACTTCCTTTCTGTAAAACAAGAGGGCTTCACCCTACCACTGGTTTTTGAAATGCTGAACCTGCATGGGACAAGGGCATCTACTAGTTCATCATCTACCTGTGCCAAACACTTGCTATATTCTGATAATCTTAATGAGCAAACTGAAAAGAATCAGAATTATATATATATATATTTAGTGCTTTTAAAACACCCTCCAGTAAAGTGTGTAGGCAAGAAGTTAAGAGGTTAACTGAGTAGGAATTTTGCAAAACCCTAAAGGACATACTGTGCTGAAGCCCTTTGCAGAACACACACACGCTGCTGCACTGGGACTCAAAGACAGGAAACATACTTCAGCAAAGTACCCTTAGAAATATATAATTGCGAACTTTTCATTTCTTTTTGCTTATAGAGTCTCAGAATCATAGCCTAGTTAGCATTGGAAGAGACCTTAGAGATCATTTAGTTTCCACCTACGTGCATTTAGTTCCTACCTAACTGAATTTTATGCACTTGTATCATGAACCATAGCATTATGGAAGGCACTGGCTTATGATAAAAATGTTACTTTATTTTTCTATTATCACCCAGAATGATTCTGGTGTTTCAAACCACACTGCTCTGCTGGCTGATTTGTCCATCCAGGTGTCATTATACTTGAGGGGACTTGCAAATAAGACACCATTCTCCTATATCTCTGTACATAAACGTACCTAAATCCTGAGAAAAGGAAAAAAAAAATACATGTAGAGGAGCCACTTGCCTGTGTCAAATTAAATATGGGGTGACTGGGCTGAAAATGAGGAAACAGTGAACTCTATGCAGGAGGAGAGAAAGGTTGAAAATCTATTCAGCTTTGGATCTATTCAGACTCAGACATATTTAGCTGGTTCTGACATGGTGAAATCCAGCTTATTCTTCCCTCCACAATGGCATTCAGAGAGGGAAGTGTCTCTGAGAGAAGGACACTTTTCCTCCTGCACACAAGCAGAGAGCACAGGATGCGAATCCTTGGATCTGGTATTTGACCACGGTGGTCTCATGAAGCTTATTGTTGGTTTTGCCTCACATGCAGAGAAGGGAGCCAAACCTTCATGGAAACCCATATGCTCAAGAAAAGAAAGCATGCCTCCTGAAAATACCACACCATCAGTTTCAGCCAATACATACTCCTGTTAATACAACTGTCACTACAGAGCCAAATCCAAACTCTGCTCACCTTCTTCATGTGACTTGTCCAATATTGTAACTGGAGACAGAAAATATATCATTCCAAGTCACATGCAACCATATCCAAATCCAGAGAAATAATTTCCAAGAATTGCATAAATGCATCTTTTTTTCTAAAAAAAAATGGGTTCATTTCAAAGACAGCTGCTATCCAGCTTGCAAATATTTACATAAGCTTTTGCATCTCCCTTACAAATACTCTACTTGAGTTTCTGACAAAGATGATATTTATAGGGGTGGTCCTGCCACCAACAGCAGCTCTTACACTAACATCACAAATACGAGTCTCCAATTTCCTTTTCTCTTCTTTATCAATTACTTGCACTTGATATTGTACACTATAGTGTAAAAGTATAGTAAAAGTACAGTGAAGTAAGGGCACCTTGTTCTAAACAACCATTTGAACATGCTAATAAGTCTACATTCAGCTGTATGACGCAAATAGGCCTCTTCTCTCAAATCTGCCATGAGAAAGTATCTAACAAAATGTTTTTTTGTTGTTAGGGAACACTTTCATAACCATACTCAAAGGAAGTCCATGCACAACTGTTCAGAAGGAGCTGCTATCCAAATGGATATGGTACAGCGGTCTATAGTCACTGAAAAGAATCCAGGATAAGATTTAAAAAAGGAAGGGAGGAGTATGAACAAAGACATTTTCTCTCTCCTATCTCTACTTCCAGCTGAATAGCTGTGGCTTGCAACAAGTACTATTCCCTTCTGCATTCCGCAAGAGAAGGGTGAAAAATGAATACTTTGAGCCAAACCACATGTCTTAAATTTTTCCCTGAACATGACCCTATGCAAAACATACCAGTGGTGAAGCCAACAGACATATGGAAAGAGCATAAAGGAGGGAGCAAATGGCACTCACATTAGCAAAGACTGGGAATTACAAATTGAAGTTACATGGCTACAACATGTCAAGAATGCTCCTTTACAGCTAGGGCTTCCCAGGAACTAGAAGCAAGCTCTTGCTTGAAGATTAACATAGCTTTCCAGCACACACAGTGCGCTTTGTCATCATTGCAACTCAAGGCTTGATGAAAGGCTTTCCGGGAACAGGAAAAGAACAATGTTTTGGGGTTTTGTTTTGTTTTCTTTTTTTTCCTCCAAGCATTAGATAACAATGAAATACATCAGAGCTCGCATTCCTAGATAAGAGCATTTCTAAAGATTGAACATGAAATCATAGCAATCCCACATATATTACATAGTGTCTATCATTCTGAGAGATTCTAAAACCATTTACAGATCAAAACTTTTGGCAGAGAGATGCTGGCTTCTTGCATTTCAACTAGGGCATGGGTATCAGAGTCACTTGTTCAGTCAGTGAAATTTTGCCACAAAATCACAAGATTTGCTCTATGCAAGCTGCAGAGCTAAAGAGAAATCAAGCAATGTATTAAAAATTAAGGCTGCAGGCACATTCCCAGAGAAGCTAGCTATGCTTTCTATTTCAGCTGCCAAGCCTATTTTTTAATGCTTTTATAATGGTCCAGAAAACTGACAAAGAAAATAAAACAGAAGGGAAAAAATGGTGTCCTGTCAAATAAAATATATACATATATACACATATTTCTGACATTTCTGACAGGTCTAATAAAATAGAAAGTCGGGTTGCACACATGAAGGTGGAGAAGATGGTATTGGTGTGTCTACTTTCAGACTGAAGGTATTAAATGGATGCAGGTTCAATTCTTCCTTTGCCTGTAGGGTTTTAAATCCATCATCTCTGAGAAATGCTTTAATATGGGATGTCAGTGTCTTCCAAAAGTGCGTTGAACTCAATGCTATTACACTCAAACCTCAGTAGAACTCACTGAAATGGAGTCAATGAGAGAATGGTTGCATGGGCTGGTGGCTATGGCAATCACTGGGGATAAAAGGTTAATTGAGAGGTGGCATCTAGATCATGTCTCAAAAATACACAACAGGAGGAGAAATTGAAAGTGGTCCAGATTAACTTTGATCCTCATGTGAGACAGAAATAAGAAATTAAACTTCAAAATCTCATCAGGCAAAAAGAAAGCTGATTTCTGTGTGGCCGCCTATTCAATTTTCATGTGTAAGTATTAGGCGGCTTGGTAGTAGGAAACCAAAGCAAAGTAGGAAACCTCCTCCTTCTCTAGTAGATTATAAACATGGCCTTGTACGGTTCTGCTTACAGCCAAAACTATGTAGTGAATTTGCCTTGAACTTTAATACTTCCCCTTCAAAATTCAATCACACGTAGATCACCACAAAATGCAGTATCAGGTCATATATAAATTCTGCCAGCTCAGCACAATGGAACAGTTAAATGAATTTGACAGTTTAGACCCCCTTGCCCATTTTCACAGCTCCCCAGATATCATTAACACTTCCAAATATTTCACACTGGCACACCTGAAAAGACTTTTCTGGGGTTTCAAGTCTCTGCTAGATTTTAAAGAAAAATCTGAATTAGATTAAAGCAGATGTCAACCTTAGAACAGGAAGCTAAACCTAATTTTGGCACAAGTACCTCAACGGTATTACAATTTTGACTAGCACGACACAGATCCTTCTGCTCCAGAGAACATCATTCACTGCAATGGCATGGTTATCACAGGGGACAAAACCACACAAGTACAGTTCACATTGCTGCTAGTCTAGCCAGACAAAGTCTGGGCACTGTCATGGGCTAAGCCCAGCCACACATTCCAGTTTGTGTAGAGTTTTCAATGATCGCCAGCACACTGGGATCAGGAAACCATTCTCTTCAGGTTTATTCAGGGAGTCCAGAGAAGGGCAATGGAGCTGGTGCAGGGCCTGGAGCACAAGTGTGATGAGGAACAGCTAAGGGACCTGGAGGGTGTTAGTCTGGATAAGAGAAGGCTTGGGGGGACCCTACTGCTTTCTACAACTGCCTGGCAGGAGGATGGAGCCAGGAGGTGGCTGGTCTCTGCTCCCAAGGAAAAAGTGATTGGACAATAGGAAAAGGGCTCAAGGTGCACCAAGGGAGGTCTAGACTGAATATTAAGAAGCATTGGAAGAGGCTGCCCAGGGCAATAGTGGAATTGCAATCGCTGGAATTGTTCAAAACCCATGTTTTGGCCCTTAGTGACATAGTTTAGTGGTGGCCTTGGCAGTGCTGGGGGAAAAGTTGGACTTGATGATCTTAAAGGTCTTTTCTAACCTGGTTGATCCTATGATTTACTTACTGGTTTTTCTTCTGGGCTCCCATTGGGTATCTCCACAACTCTGAGGTCAGGGTCCACCCGCACCCTTGCCCTTGTGACGAACTGAATGACTGATGAACTGTCCTGAGCAGTAAAAAGAGGAAGAAGTGGATTTGAGGACACAACAACGACAACAACAAAAAGGCACCACCACTCCCCACCACCCTCCAAAACAAAAGCATCAATCATTTTCCAGTGTAATAAAAACATCTAGACAATGCTTAGAGGAGGCTGGGTTGACATTTAAGCACTATTCTGGTTAAAACCCTGGTTTTTAAAAAAAAAATACCTTATGCTTACGACAAACAAAACAGAGCACATATCTCAGATTAAAACAAAATCAGGTATGTTGGGCTTGAAACACATCATTTCTACGTGCCCTGTTAACATCTCTCGAATTTACTGCAAAAGCAAAAGGCAGACCATTGCCAGTCAACACAGGCAGTCCCAATATCCATTATCGAAGAGAAGTTCCTATTTGTTTTTAAAAGGAACAGAAAAAAAAAGATATATGAAACCTGGGATAAACTGAATTATTTGCAGCAGTGCACTGTAAATATCTTAAATATTGAGCATACTCCTCCCCTTATTAATACATATTCCCCCTATATTTTACGCAGTGCAGTTTAACAGGCACATTCCAATAAGTGGCCATTCCAGCTCATAGGTTAGTCATTTGTATGCTGTTCACTCTGGGGAGGGTAAGTGCTAAGCAAGCAAATGGCATGTATTGCTGATAGTGACCCAAAGACATGTGTAAGCACTGTATGTGTTTTAAAGGAGTGTTGCTAATGGTCATCTTGAAAAGGACCCACTAGATGGGATGAATCCTTGCTATTCCTAGGACTGAATTTCCCAGAAGCACATTTTGTGTGCACTCAGTTACTTCTTTACATATTTCAGCATTTCCATAAACATGTAAACAAATACCCAAAACTTCTGTCCTTGCCTGTACTCCCTGTTTTCAACTAGGAACAAACATCAGCAGAGTGGTTGGGTTCAGGTGGAAAAGCTCACGGCTATCCATTGCTTTAAGAACTGCTTTCTAATAAGAGCACTTTACAATGCTTGTAATCTAGCAGCTGTCAAAGACAGGTTTATTTTAGTAGGCTCCTGTTCTCAGTTTTCTCCTCTGATTACCTTGTACCCTCATAACCTTATGGCATCTTGCCACAATTACAGAGTCAGCATTTCTGTAAATAAAGGAAAACAGGGAAAAACAGAATAAATCACTTGAAATTTAAAAGGTCTGCTGTCTCATTCAGCGGCTTCAGAGAACACAGGAATTAACTTGCAACCATTTGTTTCTTGTCACAAATGTCGAGCTCAGCATTAATATGGTCATGATGCATCTTCTGTGAATAATAATCATTTGAAGTAAAAAATTACAGAAACCTGCCACGTCTCTGTTTACATGGAAGGAATGATAGATAGTTGGTCACAGTTTACATGCACTTACCCTAATTTCACTTTGCAGAATGAAAACTTTCCGAAATCAATTCAACTTTCAGAAGTCTCTAGCCTTAACACCACGCATACAATTAGGGGCCTCATTTGTTGTTTCTCAATGTATAAATTTCTGAACTTAATTTATTTCTGGCTTAATGGGTAATGGGTAATAACTAGGATTAACACCTCCATACATGCTGTTGATAAATAGATCTGTTTTCTTTGACACCACGATGTTTTTTTTTGACACACTAGTAAAGAGAGCAAGGAATGCAAGTTTTGAGTCCATTGGTGCACATAAGCATACTGAAATTGGTATTCAAGACAAACTACAAAGGAAGCACGTACCTTCTTCAGTATCTCTGTATTCAGCAGTGTGTAGATACTTATATCACAGGACTCTGCTTTGGCTAGTGAGCTTAAGTTGCAGCGTATAATTAAGCAGGACCTGCCTGGTCTTTCACAGTCCTACAGGAAATATGGAAAAAGCTGTTAGGCAAAGGAGGAAAAAATTCAGTGACAAACTGTGTGACAGCAAACACACCAGCTGACTAAGCTACAGAGTAAGCTCCTAGAATACAGCACTTCTGCACTGAAATAGCAGCAACTTTCAAGACCTGAAGGCAGCTAGATCAGAGACCTGCATGACAGCAAGACAAGTAAAATCAAGCCCTGTACAGAGCTACTGAGCCAGGTGAGTGCCCAAGGCTGGGAGGAGCAGGGCCAGTGCTGCACATCAGCCCACTGCATGGGTCATGCACAAAGCATGGTGCAGGGCCCTGCTGCCCCATATGCCTATGACAACGTGAGAGTGAGGACTCTGGTCACCAAGTTTGTGCTGCCATGTCACATAACTCCCTCCCCACTGTGCTTCCTGAAACTTCCTATTTCTGTTTAAAAATCACATATTTAAAATCATAGCATCCCAGACTGGTTTGTGTAGGAAGGGACCACAAAACTCGTCTTGTTCCAACTCCCTGCCATGGGCAGGGACACCTTCCACTAGAGCAGGTTGCTCCAAGCCCCATCCAGCCTGGCTTTGAACACTGCCAGGGATGGGGCAGCCACAGCTTCTCTGTCTAACCTGTGCCAAGCCCTCACTAAATAACTAAATCACTAAATATCTCCACAGCACATGATGAGTACCAAAAGGCACCAAACAGTTGCGCTGTGATGAACTATCTGCTTAAGTTCTTCTTGTTAAACCATGAAAAAACTTTTGTAAGGTATACTACACTGTATGTTCAAGTTTACCATAAGTGGACTTTCTTACCAGTACTTTTCTGCCAGACTTTGTGAAAAAAGCAAATATCGTGTGGAAAATATTTTCCTTCTCTTGAGGAACAATGCATGGGCTGGGGTTTCTGCGAAAAGAACAGCTTCCTTTGTCCTGACCAACCTGCAAGCACAATTATGAATCATAATTACTATCCTGAAATAAACTCCATGACACAAGAAGATGGGATTAGCCTGTCAATAAAAAAACCACATCTGATCTGGATGTCTGGACTTCCATTAATGTCCAAAAGAGAGAAATAAACACTTTGAGAGTCAAATAATCCTAAAGAAAATATCTAAAGTAAAACAGACAAACCATGCTCTGGAAGCACTTGTCTCTCTTGACTGGATAGGATATGACTGTATCCAAATCCAGCTCACATGTAGCTGTCTGTGTTCTACATGTGTGAAGATAATGACCGAGGAGAAAAATCTCAGGAAAATATATAAATCAGTGCATAGCATCTTAAGCCAGTAATGTTACTCCATTACCTTTTCTGTAACTATATTATTTGTTGCTTTGGCCAATTTGGCTGCTTCACAGCTTTTATCAGAACTAATGAGGTAAATGAAATCTTTGTGCAAATGCACAATCCTTAACATCAAAACTGTTCTTCTACCTTCAGTATAAATAGTACAAAAATAAACTTTTTGTATCATTAGCTTATTCTTCAGAAAAGCAGATGCTTGATACAAGTGAAACATCCCAAGCTTTGGCAAAATGATTTTCAGTCAAGATAACCTTGCACTAGAAATCCCTTCTCACTTTTTTGCAGTTTATAGATATTCACTGAAGAATATCTACTGGAATTTAATACAAATTAGTTCTGTCAATGAATTATGAGCAAACTCATCCTGCTGCTATCCTTAAAACATGTGAGAGTGAGGGAGAGATTTTCTGTCAAATCAACAACTGATAGTCCTACATAGGAACCCCCTCACATCCTCTACTCTGAGAGGATGAAAACTTGTACCTTATTCAAATCATAAATACTTGAAAGAGGGAGAATGAGTTGTTATAGATATGAAATTGCTGCATGCTCTGATTCTGCGTTAAGCAGTTTATAGCTGAGTTAACCAAAGTATTGCCAAAAAAGAAACAAAAAACAAAGGTCCATCTAGATTTTAAATGCTATTTTCCAGGTAAGAGATGTCTATGTCTTTTGGTACGATATACCTTTTCTGCTTCACTGGTCCACAAGTTCTTTACAATCTGTTCTTTGAAGTATGCATTCATAATCTATCTTTACAATATCTGTCCTTACATACCCAATGGATACAAGCACAGGTAGCTACCCACAATTTTCTCTCCTTGGGACCAACTGAAAATGAAGACTATGATATTCTCCATTTGTCCAGGTCACCTGGAATGAGTTTTATTATTTATTCTAGGTAAGAAATTAACAAAGCCCACTGAAATTATTTTCTTTGAACTTTCACATAGGAGTTAGATCCAGATGACCAGAAGGTTTATGTTAAATCAAGAACAGCAAAGAGTCAGATCTATTTAATACTTGGTCTCCTTGAAAGGTTGATTTACCAGACACTTGGACAGATGTCATTAGAGTCATGCAAGAGATACAGAAAAGAGAGTATGAGTTTCTGCACTATCCCAGCTTTTGGCATACTCTCTAAATAGACCTGCTGTACATCCTGTACAAATACAGTGTAAGAACAAACCAAAGCAGAAACATATCTCAAGACTAAAAGGAATCATCTGGCATGAAGCAACATAAATCTGGTCCTTTCTTCTCTAAATTACAATCTTTTCTTAAACTGAAGCTTGGCTACATCTCATCCTTTTTAAAACACTTTAGCGGAAACAGAGAAAGGCACCTTCAGAGGACCAAGTCTGAACTTGGAAATAGCCTTTCCTTGCTGCATAGATACTGACCTAGATGAAGATGTCCCTGCTCATTGCAGGGGGGCAGACTAGATGACCTTGAAGGTCCTTTCCAACCCAAACTGTTTTAAGATTCAATGAGGTGGCTCCTAAATTCAATGTCTTGGGCCATCTTAGAAGGGAGATGTGTGAGGACTGAGCACCTTCTGTTTCTGAACAGACCAGCAGGTCACCTAGAGCCTGTGTTAGCAGCCAAAGGGAGATGCCACTTCCTAGAAGACAGCAGGCACTACTATTTGGCCTGCAGAATTTGGGGGAATTTCACCAGGCAGGAATTAGGTCATATTCATCTGTGATCAATCAGCCCATGCTTACAGAACTAGGACAAAAGTAACAAAAAACTTTGAAATGGGTGGATCATGCTGAAGTAGAAGGAAATGCAGCCTTTACAAAGGCCTGGCCACAGCTGGCTTTGTTTTCTTGTTTATTTTGTTAGGATGATTGTCACACCATCTTTTATTTTTCTCAATTTTTACATGCATAAAGAGAAGGTTCAGTCAATCAGTCAGACAAAACGATGGTAACTTCTCATGAAGTTCACCTTTCAATGAAAAATTCACCTCTAGGAAATCAATCTGCTAAATAAAATCTTAGCACAAAGCTCCTGCTTACATTACACTGAGACTGAATTTATCTCTGTGACATTTAAAAATCACCGACTTGTAGAGTTTTAGCTGGACATCCCAAATCTAGGGGACCGAAAAATCACTACTCACCCATGGACATTCTCCTATCATATTTAACCCATGTGCATATACATGCAACATGTATAAACACAAAGAGACATAAGCCAAAGTATTTGTACTACACAGATTGTAAATAGCACCTTGCATAACAGGCCTCTAAAGGTCACTATAACTCTGCAAAGGGGAAGAGCATGACTAATCTATTATCATGCATAAAAGCAGAATATACCTTACGCTGCCTACCCTACCTGTAAATGGCCACATGTTTAGAGACAAGTTACTATCTTGCTCTGTTAATTTACTGGAAGTTGTTGTCACCTTAAATAGCTCATAAACATGCTTGAGTGATAATGATTAAATAGGACAGCCTATACAATGGGTTACTCTGCCAACTACTTGTCGTCAGCACAAACCACTAAGCTTCTCAGAGACAAGATGTAACCACTGGAGAAAGCTTGTGTATTACTTCATACTTTAAAAATGCTGTATCTGCAACAAGGAAGAAATTCACATAAGATGACTTCAGTGGACTCTGAATATTTGAAATGTCTTGCAGGGCAGGGGCAAACCCATAAAGTAGCAGTGATTTTTAATCATATCAGATTATATCACCCTCAAGAAAAAGTGGAAGGAGGACATATCAGAGTGAAACAGTTGGATGCAAAACCTATCATGTGCACTCCACACATATTACATACTAAAAAACCTGCAGGATATTTAATAGGGAGGTATGGGAATAGCATGTTGGATTTATTCTGTACCCAGGAAACATCCTCTCTGTAGGGATTTAGGAGAATCCTTGGGCTTGGCTTGGCACTCCAACAAGGTGGTACCATTGCAAAGGGGACAATAACCACACGTTCCCCTGAGAATAAGAGGATAACCCAGAGCTCTGGATGAAACACTTCTAATCCCAGCCAGCCATGGGTTTAGGGGTTTGAAATTTCTAGGAGAAATAATACATTTATTTCATACATTATATATAAATACAATTATATATATACACACAACACATTATATATGTATATATAAATACAATTATATATATACATATATACACATTATATATGAATAAAATTACATATATATATACATTATATATAAATACAGAATCTGCTGCCTCAACACATGCCTTTTCTACTATCAGCTGTCCCCACCTTCAGGGCACTTGGAACATTCTTTCTGCTCACCTACACCTACTCTCAGAAGGTGGCAATTTCGAGCAAGACTTTGCAGCCTTTAAGAAACTGTTAAGAAATGTTAGCAAATGTTTTAAGGGTTCAGGCCATAGTACCTGCAAAATAAACTACACAGGTGGACCAAAAGCCAGTGGTGCTTTCTGGACTTACCCTCAACCGTTTGACATGCATCAAAGGCAAGAACCTTTGTTTTTTCAGAGCCCTATTTACAGCACAAGATGTTAACCTGGGAGAGGGAAGTGAAACATAATTTCCAAACAGAGGACTGGGGAGGTCACCTTAGGAACAAGCACACGGAAGTGGAAATTAGCAGCTGGCATGAGGTAAAATATTTTCATGTGCATGAGGTAAAATATTTGCATGTGGTGCAAGGGGTGCCTTGCAAGAACGAGACTGAAAAACAAGAGGAAACTAGCTGTTGCTTCCAACAGAGCACTAAGTACAATCTCCCTGCTGCACTGCTATATACAAGAAGCCAAAGGCTAATCCCATATTTAATGATTTGCATTTTACATATAAACAGGTAAGCAAACATCTATCTCCAGCTCATTCCTTACAGATAACACTAGACACCCACAAATGCAAAACAATTCATTATGGTATTAAAACTTAAAGTTTCCAGGCTCTTCCAGTAAGCCTGATTCCTGTCTTCAGCTAAATCATCACCAGTTATTAGTGAGGGCTTGGGAGCCAGCAGAATTAAGATGACACAGAGCAAGTGTGAAGGTGGAATCCAGCTGTGAGTGCCTGTGATGGAACCAAACCCGTGCTTGATCATGGAAAAAGTGTGGGGGCAAGCTCAGGGAAGATGTCATGAGACACAAGATGTTTGGAACAGCAATTTTAGCTGCAGGAAACACGCTCGAGGTCTGAACACAGGTCAGTCATTTCACAAAATTGCTAGCATTGTTCAGCTCTGAAATGGATGCCTTTCTCTCAGCCCTGGGGCATGCTGGCTCCAAAGGACACTTCAGTTGTACTCGTCTTCAGATTGCTGCCAGATAGTTTTTACATATTTCCCCTTTCTTTTCTGTTTTATTTATGTACTCATGCCTGATCAGTGGTTCAGTTTGCAAACTGGATAATAAATAACAGATGCACTTTTGTTTGTCTTTGTTGCTAGCCATAGCCCATTCATCCTAATATTGGGGAAAAAATGTGTATGTGTGGCCTGATTCAAAGATACTGATTCACCCGTTAGTGGGTGAATAGACATGAACTGATAGGCATGGTTAATCTAACATGTCACACCAAGGGAAAAAGGGGTAGGTACTGACAAGAAATTCCAGACAAGGTCAGACTTTCAACAGTAGACAAATAAGTTATGTAAATA